AGACATCAGAGAGCAGCCACAGCCGGGCCTCACCGCCCATGGCCTCCACCCCGCCACGCCTCTGTGGCGCCCGCCCGTGGGAGGGGCCCATGCCGCCTCCTGAGCGGACGGCTGGGGCCACTTCTGGACCCTAACATCCTGTCTCCTGTCTCCGCAGATCGGATCCCTGCACCCCGGGCTGGGCTGTGTGAGTATTTCCTGCCTCCACCTCTGGGCCGCCGGCCCCGCTCCCCGCCCTCCCTGCCTGGAGGCAGGCATACACAGCCATGAGCCCGTCTGCCATCCTGTGGCATGCTCTCGTGCCCGGTCCTTACCTGTCCCCAGGGAGTGGGCCGCAGTTGTGAGGGTGGGCACTGCAGCCCCCACTCTGCCCACGTGCCCACGTCTGGGCCCATGAGGACCCGCTGTGGCCTTTCCTTCCCAGCCGGCTCCTGCGAGCCTAGGCCTCACTCAGGCTTCGACCCATGGCCCTGAGATGGTCGCCTTGCATCAGCCAGCCGTGGCGAAGCTAGGTCTCACTTGAACTTTCTGGTGGCGTGTTGAGGACAGGTCCCATGGGGTACCTGTGGCCAGTGCAGGAGTTTGAACGGGGTCACTGACACCTCTCGGAGTGATGAAGGCCAGTGGGGCCTGGGTCAGAGCCCGGCTTTGCGACTTCTGGGTCCGTGGCCGACAGCTTCCTCATGCTGGCTGTCCCAGAAAACTGTTTGCAGGAGTAACGCAGTCACATATGACTCGCACACTGTGGGGACACAGGAAAAGGGACTTCCTCCTGGCCAGGGCTCCCACAGGCTCTGTGTTTCACAGAGCCCCACTCCTCCAGCTAGGAGCAGCCGGGGGGGCTCAGAGCCGGTGTTGCAGGAGCCAGGCAATGCCTTGGCTCATACGAGAGCGGGGAGGAGGGGCCGTAGCCCCAGGGAGAGAGGGAAGATGGCCTCGTGGTCTGAGAACACGTCTGGGATGCAGGCTGGCACCTGGCACGGGCCCAGAAGGCCGGGTGCGGTGGCAGGACCCTGTCCCTGCACACAGGTGCTGTCTCTGCCCCACCGTCGGCTGGTCTGCTACTGCCGGCTCTTCGAGGTTCCGGATCCAAACAAGCCCCAGAAGCTTGGACTGCACCAGCGAGAAATCTTCCTGTTTAACGACCTCCTGGTGGTACGCACGCCCGCTCGTCCCCTCACCCCCCGGGCCAAACCCCAGCCAGTGTCTTGTCGGGCTGGGTCACCACATGGGGATGTGTACACACCTGGGGTGGGCTGGGGCTTACAAGGGACAGAGCCTACAACCAGTGCCATGGATGGGGGCTTCACTGGCTCACGGGACAGTCCCAGGGGTGTGGGCTGCAGCCAGCTGTTTGCAGAGCCTCCAGCCACATCAGCCAGGCAGGCTCCCTCGGCGATGGCTCCCGGACTGTGTGAGCACCTGACTCAACCAGACCAGGCTCTGTCCTGGCAGAGGAACCGGACCTCTGCACTCCAGGCTTACCGACTACTCGGCAGCCAGAATTCTTTTCCTAGCAGAGGGCTCTGAATTAACCCTCTTTGCTGCATAGACCTATCTCTAAGCCGGTCACTGGCCAGGTAGGCACAGTGCTCTCCAGCCGGCTAAGCCTAGGTTGCAAGCTCCACATCTATAGCTAGGAGCAGAGCCCTGTTCCCCAAGATGGATGACCTGAGGGTGCCGGGGGGTCTCCAAAGGGGGCCTGAGCTCCTTCAGGAAAGAGGTGGCACAGGTGCTGGCCAGGTGGGGCAGAGACGCCCAGCACAGAGACGGCAAAAGCACCCTTGGGGCTTCTGCCCCTCCTGCACGCCATGCGCTTCCCGCCCCCGGCTCTGTCCCTAGTCCCGTGTGTGCGATGGCTGATGGGTAGGGGCTTTTACTGAGAGCCCCGACCTGGAGGTAGTGGCGTCAGATCTCTGAGCTGCTGTGCTATCACTCTCTGGTCTCGCTGGCCTGTGTGATCCAGGACATGAGACCCCTGCAAGGTGCCTGGTGTGCCCTGGGCCCCTCCCACTCCTCCCTGCCTCCCGACAGACAGCTGTGCATGCTGTGGCAGGCCTGGCCCATGAGCCCAGGACATGCTACGGGGTCCCCACCAGGCGTGGCCTGCACTCAGCTCTTCCTGAGGCGGCCGCTGCCTCCGACAGCTGTCTCTGCCCTCCAGGGCGTCGGCACCACCTGAGGGCCTGTAGCGCGGTGCTGCTGGCTTCAGGGGATGGGACTGGTCAGCGGGACGGCCTCACGGGGCAGGTGCGGGGTCTGGGAGAACGGCAGTGCCTGTGCTGCGTGGCCTCCGGGCGAGGTGGGCTGCAGCGCAGCGGTCAGCCGGCTCTGCTCCCCAGGTCACCAAGATCTTCCAGAAGAAGAAGAACTCGGTGACGTACAGCTTCCGGCAGTCCTTCTCCCTGTACGGCATGCAGGTCCTGCTCTTCGAGAACCAGCGTGAGTGGGCGTGGCCCGGCACCCCCACCCACCCCACCTGTCACCGTCAGCACAGGATGGGGCCTCAAAGCCGCGACAGACACGCACAGCGACGCTCACAGACAGCAGTGCACCACGCACGGGCAGATCTGCTCCCGAGTTAGGGGAGGGCTTGTGGAATTTGGCGGGAAAGCTCGACAGGCGTCCCTCACAGACAGGCGGCGGTGTGCGCGTGAGCTGGGGGGTACCGCGTAAAGACAGAGACGGTGGCCAGGTGACATGCAGGTTACCGCTGCCAGGATGGTGGGGAGAAGCGGGAGGGGAGAGGGCAGGGGCAAGTGCAGGTGCAGGCAGGGGTGAGTCACTAGATGCTGAGCCTGCCCAGGCCTGGTCCATGAGCCGTCTACCTGCTCACTGAGCCTACAGAGTGGGGTGCAGTTGTGCCACAGCTGGGGTGAGGCCTCGGCGGGCTGCTAGAGCACAGGGCAGGCTCAGTGAGGTGCTCCCGTGTGGCTGCTAGGGGACTGGGGCTTCCAGACTCCTCGGCTGGAGCAGGCTGGAGGAAGCCCCTCGTGCCAGGAGCACCCCCATGACCTTGGTCCTCCTGGCTACACACCCCCTGCCCTCCCCCCCGGC